ATGCAATCTATTTCATTCCTCTATTGCTCATTCAAGGAATCCATCATTTTTTAAATCTCCTGTATTTTTCTTATCAATGTATTCTTTAGAAGCAGTTATTAATTCTTTTTTTTTGGAACCAGGGATTGAACTCAGGCCCTTGTGTTTGCCAGGCAAGAGCTTATTCTACTGAGCCATCTCCCTGGCCCCTATTAATTTTTTTAACGCAGAGTTTTTTTCAGATTCGGTTTCCTCCCTATGTTTCTGTATTTGATTCTTTAGTTCAGATGCTATGAATTCACAGATTTCTTTGTTTTTTTTTTAATGCAGAACCGGGGATTGAACTCAGACTCTTGCACTTGCCAGGCAAGTGCTTATTCTACTGAGCCATCTCCCCGGCCCCCAGAGATTTCTTTTTTCATTTCAGACATTAATTCTGCTTTGAGTTCCTTTAAACCTTTCTGCTGCTGCTTATTTACTTCTGATGCTACTAATTCATATATTTCAGCTGAGCTAGCGTCCACTGCACTTGTTCTCGGTGGGCCTTGTGTTTCCTCCATATGTTTCTGCATTTGATTCTTTAGTTCAGATGCTATTAATTCAGAGATTTTTTTTTTGTTCCAGAAATTAATTCTGCTGTGAGTTCCTCTATATCTTTCTGCTGTTGTTTATTTACTTCTGACACATTAATTCATATATTTCAGCTGAACTAGTGTCCTCTGTACTTGTTATGGGTGGGGTCGAGGCCTGAGATTGCATTTTGCTCCTTGTCTTTATCATTTCGTATACACTGACCTCTGACGTTTGGTGTAGAGGTTTGGTGCAGTTATAATCTTAGTACCTAATGAAATTCAGGTACTGAATTACCAAGTTCTAGTTTATGCAGTTGTGCCTGGCTTGAGTCTGGCTACTGTGCTCAGCTCTTTATTGTTGTTGCCCTTGGAGGTGGGTCTGCTGTACCCCTCTGGTAAGATGTTCTGTTCCTGGATTAGCTGTGTGGTTTTGACCCTAGTCTCACTTCAGGGGCTTTAGATGCAGGGTTTCACCCCAAACCTGTATGCTGGGCCTAGTAGTGCACTGGGTGCGGTGACAGCCTGTAATTGTAGCACATGGGAGGCCGAAAAACAGAAGGATCACTCTGAGTCTGATCTATGTAGTGATACCCTGTATACCTTGTCATAAATATGTAAAAAAGCAAATAAATAAATGAAATT